GTTAATGAACACATTGATTTAGAAAATCTCCAACAATTCTGGAGCACATTAAGTGTTGAAGTCACTTATCTCATTACTTGTGCTTTGTAGGAAGAAACAGAAAATTGTTCTGTTTTACAAGTTAACCGTGTGAAATGATTCTCCTCTTTTTCTTTCAACAGCTGAATTTTTGGGGCTTCCTTACTTTGGATCTCCAAATGAAAACTTTGAGAAAGGAGTTAATTTCGCGGTAGCAGGAGCAACGTGCCTATCTTGAGAGCAAAGGAATTCATTATGCTTACACCAACGTTAGTTTAGGAGTTCAGCTTAAGACCTTCAAGGAGAGTTTGCCAAATCTATGTGGTTCTCCTGCAAGTAAATGAAGATCTACCCTCCTTTTTATAGTTATTTACACTCGATATCTATACGGTTAAAATCTTGAACATGGTTTACAAGTTGAGAGTTATAATATAGGCTAAAGATCTTACTGTTATTCTTGTTTACCCGCGAGATGCAATCTCACTTGTACTGTAATGGTTTCTTATAGGTTGCAGAGAGATGATTGGCAATGCTTTGATTATAGTTGGAGTGTTGGAGGGAATGATTATAACTATGCGTCTTTCGTTGGAAAAAGCATCGAAGAGACGAAAGAGCTGGTTCCTCTAGTGATCAGCACTGTTTCTTCTACAATTACGGTAAACATTTTCTCTTGGAAACTCCAGTTCTTGGACTGTATATTGCGTTTGAAACTTGAATCTTGAACGCATATAACAAACAATACAGGAGTTGATCAGTATGGGAGGCAGAACGATTCTGGTGCCTTGTGACTTCCCAGTCGGATGTTGGACTATCGGACATCAAAAAAAGAAGAATATGATCCTTTAACAGGATGTTTGAAATGGCTAAACGAGTTTAGACAACATCACAACAAGGAGCTTCAAGCAGAACTCAACAGACTCCAGAGACTCTACCCTCATGTAGCCATCTTATACGCTGACTACTACAATGCCGCGTTACAGATTTTTCAAGAACCGGCAAAATTCGGTTAGCCAAACCTGCTTTTCTTTTATCTCTAAATACCCATTTTCCTTGGATCAACTAACTAACCAAGTTATTGAATTGATTTCTTGTGTTTGGTATTAGGGTTCATAAACCGACCCTTGTCCGCTTGTTGTGGATCAGGAGGTATGTACAATTACAATAGTGTTAGTCCGTGTGGGACTAAAGGAGTGGATTGTTGTCTTGATCCTTCAAAGTATGTACATTGGGACGGTAATCATTTGACTGAGTCTGCGTATCGATGGATCGCTGTGGGATTGCTCGAGGGGCTTTCGATTGGTCGTGTCTCGGCTTTGAACTTGAGAACAGATCATTAGATGGACAGTATGCTTTTAGCAGTAGGTGAAGAGTTTAATTGAATTGTGTATTGTCTTGCTTTGTATATTAAACCGGAATTATACAGATTCTATTATATTAAACCGGAATTACAAATAAAATGACTTAACCGAACGTATAATTTCATTTGACATAAAATTGTTAAGAACGTATAAAGTCGGCTCCTTTCTCAATTTTCTCGAGTTTCAAGAACAAAAGGGCGATTTCCAATTCTTCCTTCTACCTTGTCAAATTGATTACTCTCCAACTTCTCTTATATCCGATTAGGGTTAAAAAGCTCCTCTCTTTTGTTTGTTAATTCCAAAATCGCAAACCTAAAGTCTCAAGCTTTCTCTCGACCTCTGAGAAACTTGGCAAACGAAACTATTAAATGGAGAACGAGATGAGTGAAGGAAGCGACACTTCAGGTGTACCTAGAGGAGGACCTGTTTATCTACCAAACATGGTGGCTCCGTTTTCTACTGTACCCGAATTTCAATCTTCTTTTCTCAATTTACTTCAGGATTTGGAAACTCACTTGTCTCCTTCTTCTTACTCCTCTCTCCAATCTGATCTCTCGTACGTACGCATCGAAATTGTCCTCCTTTCTTGATCCTTCGTTATCATATGATCGATTTCTGATTTGGGTTTTCTTTTTTGTTGTTGCAGGACCCATTCTCTTAAGATTTTTACGGATGAGGAACTCACAGATATGGCTATGAAGGACGCCTTTCCGGTACAAAGCCTAATCCTTTTCATTATTCTTCTACTGTCTTTTGGAATGTAGTAAGAAAATTTGGGAGGTTTGTTCTTAATTTCATTACAGGAAAATAACCTTTCTCAAAATGAGCAATCTTTGAACGCTTCTCATCAGTAAGTATCTTTCTGTTACTTCCATGGTGGTCAAGTTTTTGTTCACTTTCTTGATTGGTTCTGATTTAGCCTTTGCTGCTTCCAATGTATTTTGTATGTCCTGTGTCAGCATTGTTCTCTTTCGATTTAAGATTATAGGTTGCTGTCATGATCTTAAAGCTTTGAGAGACAAACGGTTTACCTCTTCTTCGTTCTGCAGTGAGAATCCATCAAACAGAGGAAGTAAGACGACGAAAACGAAGAGGACAGTAAAGAACACTGAAGTGAGTTCATGTAACAAGGTTTGGTGTAGCTGCTCATTTCACCTTTATAATTGATGTGAATGTGATCGTCTTTTTTTCTTTTCAGGAAACTTATGTTGCAAAAATAGAGCCGTTTGTTAAACTTAAACAAAAGCAGGAAGATGATAAAGCAGCTGTGAAGCTACACTGCTTCAGGTCTGTGATTACAATTGCATTGTCTGGTTTTGCTGATGTACCTTTTATCTGTTTTGTCCTGATGTTTGGATTTTAACTTTTGCTCAGCAAAACTTGTGATAATGGTAAAGATGTGGGTACATCTGAAGAAGGTTTTGAGCAGATGCAGTCTCTTAAGTTCGTAAATAATTACACGGCAAGTGATTTCCCCTTGCAATTTCTTTTTAGTTTTCGAATGTGCTACACTGAGCATCTTTTATCTTTTCATGCATCCGGCTAAATATCATCGTCTTCCTATTTACACAGCTGGGGAAACCATCAGACAGCCAGGGGTCGGACCGGCCAGTAGATACGCTATTTCCTGAAGTCATTCTTTGTGTTGAGATACATAACACTGCCAAAGTAAAGGTACTGATTGTTCTGTGTAATAGTTAATGTCATGTTTTGGAGAAATCAAAGCTTTCTTTATCCCATGCTTATGGAAGTCTTGTTCAATTGGTATAAAAGATCAAACGTAGAGACAAAACATATGCAACACTACTAATGATAATATCTGTATGAAATTTTGTGTAGACCCAAGAGTTCTTGGTTTTAGGACGTCAAGCATTGACTGTATTGAAGGACAAGATACACTGTCTTACGGACCAGGTGATGGAAATGGCTGGAACGTATGATCCCTCTGGATACTTCCTCATAGAAGTAAGCATTCATCTCTTCTTTTTTCTCATATTTCGGTGACTAACCAAAATCTGTTGATCTTCTCTCGATTTATCATATGCTTTTTCTCTGTATAGGATGTCTTTTACAATGATTTAAGGAATCCCTCGGCGACAGATTACAGCAAACCTATATTAAATTGGCTTTGGAACTCGAAAGATGAAGCTCTTCAAAAATGGGAATGCATCTTAACCGGCGAAGTTAAGGAAAAACAAAAAACGGTTATAGGTGAAGCGAATTCCATGGATTTACCTCGTTTCGGATCTGCGGACATGCAGAGTACACGCTTCTGTGATTTAAGATTCAGACTCGGAGCTAGTTATCTTTATTGTCACCAGGTAAAAAACCTCGTTTTATTTTCTTTAATTCTCATCCTATAATAGATATTAACTGACTGATTAAACCTTACGAGGACAGGGAGATTGCAAGCACACGATAGTGATACGAGACATGAGGCTGAGTCATCAAGAAGATGTTCAGAACAGAGCGGCTTACCCGAGACTCATGTTTCAACGCAAACCGAGGGCTCAGAAATGCAGCGTTTGCAAAATTAATAGAGCTTCTAGATTTACAGTGGATGATAAGTGGGCAAAGGAGAATCCTTGTTATTTCTGTGATATGTGTTTGGCAGAATACTTCAAGGGAGGCTCTCTTAATCCACTTCATGATTATCCGTGTGAGGAACCGATGATCCCTTTATTGCAGAATCGTGAAGAAGAATAGTTGTAGATGCAAGAAGGAAAGATGAGTAATCTTAGATGATACATAGATTGTAATTCTACATACAATCATTTCACCAAATATGCAAGTAAGAAGAAAAACAAACGGAAGAAGACGTCCTTATAAAAAAGATTCGTTTTGAAATCTACATCTTTTATATATTTCCAAACGAATCGATTTTATATCAAAACCATGAACCGTTTGATAGGTTTGGTTAACATAAAGATAAAGATTTTTTTATACTGTCAAAATCTTCAATAACATTAGACATTGTTTAAGATAAAATCGAGCTGATTTAAAATCTAAAATGCAAACAACTTTATTTCATCACGTCCAAAAATCAGTTTGTTTTAAAAAAGTTATTATTCAATATTAAAGAACAATCTTGATATATATATATTGATTTTTATAATCTACTTGATAAACACAAATATATAAGTTAGAAATAAAATAAGATTTGCATGATATTTATGGC